GGGGGGGGGGGGGGGGGGGGGGGGGGGGGGGAGAAACGTATGGTATTCTTTGTGCAGAGACTAATTCTAATTCTTGCTAAGTCCAAGACTCAGGGGGAGGCGCTCTTGTACCTCTTCGTCCCTGAATCGTGCCTGTCAAGACGGTGTGTTCAGCTAGCTTCCGAGTCCTCTTTCGGACACTGGTAGTTGTCAGGATCATCACATGGTCGATCCTTGGCAGCCATCAAAGAAACTCGAGACAAAGAAGTTAAATGTATATGAAGATCCTGAAATCCATTTCTATAACGCTTTTCCGTTACAGTATAAGCATTATCATACTATCTATAGTCTCGATAATGAGTTCGAAATGCTAATATAGTTAGCTTTAAGTATTAGCTTCTTTTTCCTTATCTAAACACACCTTATAATAGGTAGCTATCACGCGGGATTCTAAGTCGATATCCTCGCTATCTTCCCCGATCTCCCGGGCTCTACATCTCCGAGTAGTTGATTCGTGAACCTCCCCTATACGTGTAGAGGTAAAGTAATATAGGAGTACTAAGGCACTTAGCTAAACTCTGGCCCGATCGGTAGGGGTTCTACGATACTTATAGTGGTCTCGACACTATAATTGAGTTATTAAGATAGTTAAATCATTTAGGGGTACACCGTTATCTTTATTCATTTACTTAGTTAAGAGAGGGATCTTGATCTTTAGCTCTCCCACGGTATACTATCTAGTATTAGCCCTGATTTATTTAAAATGACACTAGTATAGACTTTATTAATTCTAGTCCTAGTGGCTAGTGGGAATTCAAAGTTTCTTTTTCTCTTTATACTAGTAGCGAATTTCCTAAAAAAATCCCTGAATCGTCTCGACTATAGGCCTTTCTTCGATCCGACCGTCTATTCCTCTTGTAACCCACTCGAGGAAAGCCCTACAAGTTCTGATGTCCGGCGGAATGACGGCCTGTGGATTTAATTTGACAAAACTGGGGATAAAGGCACAATTTAACGCTTTGCTTCTCTGCTCCTAGGGCTAAGACTTGCTCGTCGAAAATAAGTAACTTGTGACTATAACCAGATTCTGTTTGTGTCAGCACTGCCCGCTGGATTTCATTCTTACTATGCTCCCCGAAATCCATAATATTGGCCATATATTTCAACGTTGGATCATGCTTGGTACGCATCTTGCTCGTGACAAAGCGAGTTTGGAGTGATAAAGCGAGGCTGGAGATGAAAACGGAGGGGAAAAGAAGGATACCCATAGCCTTTTTGGTCATGATGGGAAATTTACATTCTGCTGTAGCTGAATATTCAGGTGAGGAATATTCAGGTAAGTGAATATTCAGGTAAGTGAATATCCGCCCTGAGTGCCCTGAATAGAGCGGCAAGCCGCCCATGCCCGAACCGTGGGCGCTAGGTGACCACCACCTTAGACATGCTGTTGTATGTTTTTGTCTATTTTGATTCGTTCGGAATCTCTGTCGCCCTACTCTTCCTTCAGCCCATTCAATCCATTCACCTGAATTCCCTGAACACCAATCAGACAATCTGCATAATAGTATCACATTAAGCTTCTACTCTGGCTGAAGGTTAAAAAGAGACAGACCTAGAATACTCACGGTTGCTAAACTTAGGAGAAATGCTTGAATCTTGAATATTTTCGCTCTAGGAGGAGGGAATAGTATTCCTTATATACATTGATCTCTCAGCATTAGCAGCTACAGTTCTCGCGGACGGGTACCAGCAACTTGAGCTCCTAGGATCTATTTTCGTCTCACCAATCACTTTGTGGCGGCACAAGAGGTCTAGGAGCTCCTAGGAAGACCTATCAAGCTTCATTTACTTAGTATGAGTGCTAGTTAGAATATTTTAGGCAAATGAGGGGCCGCAAAATGGACATGGGCGGGTACATCGTCCAGTAGATATGGCCGATAGGTCTAGAATGATTTTGTGGGTGTCCAGGCCGCTAGAGCTGAAGTCCTATTCCTAGGAGCAAGCATCAGGTAGCAAGAGCGATAATCTGGTAAATTCAAGCGGAAAAAATCAGAATAAGACACTAAGCTGGATTTACAAACCATTCAACTGGGCTTTTCTGATATATCCCTAGATATTGAAGAACCAAAAATCGAGGGTTGGATATTTTCCGCAACTATATAGAGATGGTATCGTGGATGCTAGACTCGACAGGCTGAATAGTGGCATAACCGCAGAATAGCAATGCCAATAATGTGGCCCCACTGTGCATTTGCCTCATAGGTAGAAGGCAAAACAACCAGGATCGACCACCACATTGATGACGCCAGCCCTTCGTTGAGGGGACAACGGTCAAGAGCGTTATTGAAAGACTTGCACTGGACGGGGCTAGCGTGGTGCGTTCTATTGAGGTAAACTGCTGACTTAGCTGCTCTCCCACTTTGTTCAGGTCATGCTCAGTGAGCGCTCAGGTCACGCTCCGTGAGTGGGATCAGGCTGCTCAGGTGACGCTCAGTGAGCGAGTCCTAACGACTATGTAGTACTCAGGGGCGTGCTCAGTTTTACTCAGTGATCAAAAAGCGGCAAAGGGTGAGCACTAAAACGGACAGGGAAAGCCACTGGCTCGGCCTAAAATCCGGTGTATATGTAGCTATGTAGCAGTATGTACCGGGTTTTAGGCCGTGGATACAAATTTCCCGATCGGGGTGCCTGCCGCCGCTTTATCAAACAATAATCGTTCAGTTCGCCCTTTCTGGACTTTTATCATTTTGGTTTTCTTTAGTGCGTACATCAACTACTGCACTAAAGGGTTCGTTTCCGGTTTTAACGGGGGGGAGTTGAAAAATATACGGTTACATTCAGGATAGCACAAAGAAACAGGAGCTCTAAATTCCACCTGTCAATCACACACACGTCGGTTGCTCCGATTGCGGTATAAGTAATAATAAGTTAGTAGTCTACCTATATACTATACCTAGGTAGAGGAAATATACCAATCTATACCGCCATTCCATTCACCATGGTGAAGGAGTTAACATTGACACTTCCACCAAGAGACGAAGTGGCGAAATTGAAGATACCGTATCT